AGCTCCGCGAGAACAACATCGACGTGGATGCCACCATCGACGCCATCCACCAAAGCAAAGGACAAAAAGCCCCTGACAAGGTGAAAGAGGCCATCACCTTTGTTGCACCCCTCGTCGACACCATCATGGATGCCATCAAACCTTGGGCACAGGTGCGCAACTACGGCGCCAAGAACACCGAGGGCGACAACCAAGCAGCACAACGCATGCAAGCTTTGGAAGAGCAGACCGCCAAGTACAAACAACGCCTACGCAGTGCCGGCATCGACGTCACCCCCCAAAAGTCCCTCCCACTGCAAAATGAGCCAAATGAAGGCCCAGAAGCAACGGCGGCACCACCAAAGCGCAGACGCCTCACAAAGGGAGCCATCAAGCAGCGCAACGAGGATATCCTCGCCGAGCCCCACAATGTGATCCGTGCCAGTGGACAAGAGCCTCCGACAAGTATGACATCAATTGCAACTTGGATCACCAACCTCAAGAAGAGCCTCCCCCGTGAAAAGCATGCGGAAGTGGACAATCACATACAGTCCGTACAGACCATCCTCGAAGGCGCCAAATACACCAAGGCCGAGCTACAGGAGATGGCTACGAGATGGGGACTTCCCATGTCCCTCACTAATTACAGCGCCAAAGGCTTCACCCAAAAACCTTCAGCAGCTGATCGCCGCCGTCACCTACCTCGCCGTGTGACACGTGCAGAAAATCCTGAGAGGACCCCTAGCACATCAAGAAAGTGCCAGCATCTTCCAGCAGCTGCAACAGATAGTAGACTGGGGGCAGTTTTTGCTTTTTCATGTTCCTGCTATTAATAAAGAAGTTTTGATGTGGTTAGTTGGACTTATTCATCTTGTATTCACTTTTCATAGAATGCGGCAATCGCCTGCAGCAGAGCAACTAAAAGAGCGACTCCGAGAAAAAGGTGCGGTTCCAGAACTCTACACGTTCGAGAAATTCTCTCAGCCCTGTGCAGTGTACGTCAAACTTGTATTCCCCAGGCTCAACAAGCAAACCTATGCGACTGCTACCAGGGACGCATCATTTTGCTACATCGGATCCACCAACATCACGGTGGCCAAGAGAGAGTACAACAGAGTCGCAAAACTTCGTCAACTACAACAACTCAAACTTCCCAAAACCGAGATTGCCATTCGTTATTGGAACGATTCCCAGACCTACCAGCACTACAGCACCATCCTCCTTTCGCAGCACTCGGAGTACATTGACGCCTGGGCCGAAGAACACTGCCTGATTCAGAGATGGCAGCCCAAGCTGAACTACCCGTATGTCACGAAGGAGCTGGTCAAGAAGGCGCATGGATTGGTCCCTAAACATCAACAACCACATCTTCGCCACCCACCAGATTCTCTAGGAAGACAACTTTTCAAAAAACTCCGACGAAGAGTACAAGGACAGCGATCCTCGCTTGTGAATGCGCTCCCCAAGCAGGCGCAATTCTGGAAGCTCTTGTACGCTATCTCAAGCGACACCAAGCAAGAATTTGAGGCCTCCAAGGAGCTACGCAGTGGCAAACATGACTCCGAAACAGTTACCCTGCTCTACAGACTCGCCAACCACATGGAGCAGCCATGGAGATCAAAAGCACGAGCCAGACTACGAAAAGTCCTGCAGTTCAAGAACGCATCGATCCCAAAGCACAACAAGCCCCTGAAAGTCCCTCTACTTGCACATGCGTCACACCGCACTAACCTCGAAAAGTACCTGGTACGACTCAGCAGGACACACAGACATGTGCTTATACCATATCATCTACCAACCAAGACGGTCCAGGAGGCAACGCACCCCTCTCTCGAGCGAGCTCTTTGGAACCACAAGCGGAAAGTCACCGATATGGGCAGACACTGGAAGCCTACAGAATGTCAGTGTGCCCAATTCATCAAGCAACATCCGCGAGCACAAGTACACGAAGGACATGTGGTGACGGGCTTAGAAACCTTACAACTTCACAGCACAAACCAGATCTTCCAGAACATTGGGGCCGGGAACGCCTTCTACTCCTCCAAGAAGCGTATCAAGAAGCAGCACCAAGAACAATTTCAGCGATGGCTCAAGCACCACCAATTTCCTCGAGATCAACGCATCCTCGACGACTTTGACGACTTCTTCGAGCAGGAGTGGAAGCAACACAGACTACAACTTCAACGTGAGCCACGACTCACTCACAGATTAGCAAAGAACATATTGGGCATGATCCCTGATGACTACATTGTGCACAACGAGGACCACGCCAACGCGCACCTCATGATCTACTGCCCGAACATCTACAACCAAGCAGCCTACAACACTTGGATGGACAAACAAACATTCAGAATGCTAGATGCCGACCCTGCCGAGATCAAGCAGTCCATGAAAAACAACACCCCCAAGATCGTCGCCAAGCACTACGCCAAGCTCCTTGACTACGAAAAGCCCCTTCCGTATGGATATATCCTCATGAAACGGAAAAAGAGGTGGGCAAAAGGGAGGACTATTATCGCGTATAGCAATACGTGCATCGGCAAACTGCTCAAGATCGCGGCGCTAGCATTACAACAGATGTTGAGGATAACATGGCCCAACCATTTTGGCGACGTCAGCTCACCGCAACTATGGGAGGAAATACACCAGCTCTTCTACGATTCTACAACAACGAGCACCTGTACCCGGAGAGGCACTTGAAATTTCTCAACCACGATCTGGTCGGCTTCTTTAATTCGATACCACAATCCGACATCCTGCAGAGCATCCAATTCCTCACATCTCAGTTCCTTGACGAGCACAACGCCACCATCACCGTCGATCCGCACAACAAGATCGCACCAGCGCATTCAGGCCGCTCAACGCACAGCCTGAAGTCCAACATGGTCAAGATGCAGGCAGAGCACATACCAGCTATCATTCAGTTCAGCTTCGACGCGTGTGCTTTCACAGCCATTGGCGAAGTCTTCCAACGGACATGCGGCACGTCGATGGGAAACCAAATCAGCCCCATCCTCTCCACGTGCGCAATCGTGGCAACAGAAATCACATGGCTACGGATGTACGGTCAATTTATCAGCAGCGCCCACCTCCACGACAAGTTCTGGATCCGCAGGTACGTCGACAACAGAGCCATTATAGTCGATGAAGACGAACTTCAGCACAACCCCTTCATTCAGCAACTTGCGTCCCTGCACTTCTACAAGAAACCAGTGCAACTTGAAGACGAAGCGTGTGACGATTTTCTGGGATTTTGCATTCACGCAGACAATCGCAAAATCACGTACAATCTTCACCGCGAGCCTTGGAGATACAGACTCCCTCAGTCAGCCGGAACTACAAAGTTACGCCTCAGCGGATATCACAGCAGAAAGCATCTCATCCGCACCATTGCCTACCCGGAAGATGTAGCCCAGCGACAAATTCAAGAACTGGACGACCTCTACGGTGACTTGGGATATGCGCGCCTTCTGAAAACTCAGCAGAGCTAGAGACCTGTAGGCAGCAGCAGGTGAAATGTCTTAGCCCTTTTGCTTTGGTTCTTTCAGCCCTTTCAACACTTTTCTTCAGTTTTTGGTTCAAGCCTTGCGTTGGTAGGACTTAGGGCTAATATGACTAAAAAGCAACGTAACAATGGAGCCACAAGCGCCGCAGAGCTCACCGACATCGATACCGACTCCGAGGCCGCAGAATACATCGTCAGATTACCACATGGACTACCACTGGACATGAGTGCACCCGAAAGTTCCACAGCAAAAGACGATCCTGTAGAGCAAGAATGCCAGCTACTCCTCCAACAAAGATACATTCCCTTCGAGCTCTTCCCAAGGCTATCCACCCAGCTCAACTCCGAATTCCTCCGAGCTTCAGCACTTACAAAAGCCGGCAGAAGAACAACGTCATATACAGTCGGCGCCTACTACCACGCCGGCAGCACCGGAGTCCGCACAAACACGAGGCAAAGACCGTGGACGGCAGCACTCATGGCATACTTGGTACGAGCATGCACCCATACTACATTCTCGACTATATCGTTACTCCGCAATGTGCACATGCGTACGCACCGAGACAAGTACAACAAGCCAGGAAGCCTCAACATTGTGATTCCGGTCTCGACTTTCAGACAAGGACACCTATGGGTTGAAGAAGACGACGGACCTGACCTATCCCCAAATGGACAACATCGCGGTCGCAACCTCGAAGTCAAACTGCCCGGAATCGAGTTCAGTCCATTCAAGCTCCATGGCACGTGCCCATGGAAATCCGACCGCCTGATCATCTCGGCCTACACCACAAACCGCATCGAGGACATTTGCAGAGAAGACAAACGCTACCTTCGCATGCTTGGCTTCAACCTCACATAATTCAATTCAGCACAACGCTGTGGACACAATTCGGTGCCAGAAGCAGGACGAGAGTGCAGAAAACAGAGGAGTCTCCACAACGCTTTGCGATTTTAGGCGGTCCCTTGTCTCTTAAGCGTTTAGGAGTGTGCCTTAACTGTTTTGGATTGCCGTGTCTCAAGCTCATAAAGCCCTCCAGCTATCACTATTTGATCCGTGACAGCGGCAATGCTCCGTGACCGTGATGCGCGCTACTCAGATGAAGCTGAACACCACGCAGATGTGCCGACAGCCCAGCTCAACAACATGTACCAGGTGGTCAACCAGCTCAGCATTTCACAGCTGCTGGAGTTGGCAGAGTATGTGGCGCGCAGATTGAGGAACGCAACCAGATTCATGTTTGGTGGAGTTCGGTGCTGCATTCCATGCCAACAATGCGAAGCCGCCAGCTATTGCAACCCCAGCTACGTCGTCCAAACATGTGTTCACACATCATAATGTTAACCTACTTTTTATAAATCCCCCCTCAATTACAAAACCCCACCCCCGGAACTCAATTATAAACCCCCCTCAATTACAAAACCTGCCGGCCCAAATCCCCGAAATTAGATACTTCTTGTTCTGTGTTGTTGTGTGTTGGTTGAGAGAGAAAGAGAGAGAGAGAAAAAGGGAGAGAAACTGCAGCTACTACGAGAGCTTGAGGTCTGCAGAGAGAGGGAAACTGCAGCTACTACGAGAGCTTGGGGTCTGCAGAGAGAGAAACTGCAGCTACTGCGAGAGCTTGAGGTCTGCAGAGAGAGAGAAACTGCAGCTGCGAGAGCTTGAGGTCTGCAGCGAGAGAGAAACTGCAGCTACTAAGACTGCGTGAGGTCTGCAGAAAGAGAGAAACTGCAACTACTACGACTGCTTCAGGTCTGCAGAGAGAGAGAAACTGCAGCTACTCAGATTTAGAGGGCCTCAGAAACCATGCCTTCCTTAATAAAATTCATTATTCCCGGAGCCAAAAATCAATCCATCCTGATGGAGTACTAACAAAGGCCGTTCTTCGCAATTATAAATAAACCCCCCTCAATTATAAACTCCCGCCGGGGAGGGCCTTTTGCTTCAGAAGCCAAGCCCTTCATCGGGAAAGCTTTAGCTTCCAAAGCCACCGGACTCCGAAACCGCAGATTTAGAGGGCCTCAGAAACCATGCCTTCGTTAATAAAGTTCCTTATTCCCGGAGCCAAAAATCAATCCATCCTGATGGAGTACTAACAAAGGCCGTTCTTCGCAATTATAAACACCCCCTCAATTATAAACTCCCGCCGGGGAGGGCCTTTTGGTGGTGCCTTTAAAGGCCTTGAAAAGGACAGCAAGCTTTACAGGCCAAGCCCTTCATTGGGAAAGCTCTGGATTCAAAAGAAAAGCAAGCTGTGGGAGCAGAGTCGTTGATTTGAATAACCTACCTATAGCAGCCATGCCCTTGCTTGCGAAAGCTTCGGCTTTCAAAGGAGGAGGGAGAGGACCGCAGGATCATTGTTCATTGCTGGTACTTTACCAAACCTGCCTTGTCCGCCGGAAGAGCTGGACTCAGAGGCTGTGCTACTACTGTACTGCTACTGTACTATACTACTGTACTACTGTGATACTATACTACTGTACTACGACGACCGACCCCCCCCTCAATAATCAATCCCCCCCACCCCGGGCGCCAAATCAATCAACGGGGGGGGGGGGGGGGTTTATTAATAGGAGGTTGACATTACTCGCGAAGTTCGGAAGAAAATCACATATGGCATGGACGACATCTTTGCTGGTTCCACACGGATTAAAGAGCAGACGCATGCAGCTAGACCCAGTGAGCAAGAAAAGTTTGCGTTTTGTGCGGTTACAACTAAGGTTTGCACTGTGCCCTGGCAATTTTGTGTTGATTTCTTGAGCGTAGTAAGCCACTTATCTCAAGCAAGAGCTTTTGACCCACCGTCCGCTACCTCGACAAATGCGCCGGGGGAGACGCACATGGGATGGAGAACGCCTAGAGGAAGGACCACGTCAAGCAGGCCCTTCGCAGCTCGAGACCTTGTACAGCATCGTCAATCAACTCAGCATGGTGCAATTGTTAGAGCTCGCGGAGTTTGTCATCAGGAAAGTGGCGCGGGAATCACGGTACATGTTCGGTGGCGTCAACTGCACATGCAATTGTCAACAATGCGAAGTAGAACATCGCAGCAACCCCGAGCTAGCCATCATGTACTGCTCCCACACATCGCTTTCACAAAGTTCCGAAGAACATCATCAGCGACAGGGACGACATCTATGTTGGATTCATGACACAGACTAAAATGTGCAGCAGATCAGAGTTCGAGAAAAAGACGAGCGAGCAACAAGCAGTACTCAGTCACTTATTCGGCATGCATGAGCGATCACTTTTCTTTTCTTTCCTTTCTGCATTTTGGTTCCGTAAGTTAAGGCTTCTTAGTAGTAACGCCAGCCATGCCAAAACGGAAAGCTGGAGAAGCTGGACTTCCATGGTACTCTACGCGGGCTCAATGCTTTCGAATGACAGTGGAAATCCCACCTGACCGAATCTCCAGAGAAAAACATATGTTCCTACACGTGGTGCTTTGTCTTGGAGATACCATACTGCAAGCACGGAAAATCTTTTCCTACCGCATCAAAGAGATCACCGGCAGAGTACCAGAGATTGCAGCGTTCTTTTTCGAGCAAAACCGCCGACGACTACATGACTGGGACCCGGTTACATCCATGGCAACCCTGAAGCCTGTGCTCTTCGTGCGTACAATTTCAGACCAAGAAGTACGGCAGCAGCGATGAAAAAGAAGAGTCCGCAGCCCCTCCAACGGAGGTCAGTGTGTGTGGGGAACCCAAACTACTACGGGACAGTGCAAGTGAGAATTGCAGGTTGAGACCTAGAGAGTGATCGTGCAGGGGGACAGTGGACATTCTGGAAGGCACTGTCCAACGAAGACCTTTCCAGTTTGTCGTGAAATGGATTGAGGACGCTCAATCCACGTACCTGCCAATGTGTTTGTGACATCCTTTGCAGTACAAGCCGTGCAATGCTACATTCTTCACATACTCGCTGTGCAATGCTTCAGGACCCTTGGCTTTTTCTTCTTTAGTAAACATCAGCAAGGAAACCAGAGCCTATTGAAGCCCCACCGGCAACGCTTTCTTTGAAGTGTTCTCATCGGAGTCATTGAACTCGCTGATGAGTCGGAATTGACCATGAGTGAACATGCAACCAGCGAGACTGGGTGTTCAAGTGTGTGTGTGTGTGTGTTTGTAAACCATTTAGACTGCAGCCGCTGTTTCATTGACATGGATGACAGTGAGGCCAGACAAACGACTCTCCCAAGCCGCGAGGCTGTCCTTGTTCACGGAGTAGCGGCTTGCTGTTCGTGGAATCCTGGGTATGGGTAGGAATGGAGGAACAGGAAGTGAGTCTCGGCCTGCTGCACGGAAAAGACTCACCTGAAGAAGAGTAATTCACTTCTTCGGCTTTCGTGCATCGCAGCCCCCAAGCGAGGAAACAAACACAAACCAAAAGCCAACAAGCAAATGACTACCACCACCACCACCGCCACCGCCACCACCACCACCACCACCACCACCACGACCACCACCACCACCATGCACCACCCCCACCCCCGCAGAGCTACTGATAAGCATGAAGAACCCATCTTGGCAAGCTGCGGGTGACCAACGACTATCTCGCTGTCGAGGGCCATGGGCTCCACATAATAGGTGAACTTCGTAGCCTGGACAGGGCTGACACATCAACGCGGACGCCAAAGGAAACATAAACGGCCCAAGTTGAGCCGACACCCCTGTGGACTCCCTGCAAACCACCAGAAGCTCTCCGGCTTCCGACCACTATCGAAGCTCGAGCTCTCGTTTCCGGCCTGCTTGTGGCCTCCTTTGCACTTGCAGCAGGCCGTGTCCGAGGAGATCCCCCGGAACTTCTCCGCGGAGCACGTGGCCGTGCTGCAAGTCTCACCAGACTTACCCACCCAATGAGGAAGGTCCATGCCTCATTTTGATATTTGGGAAGGTACCTACAACACTCATGCAGGAATGGCTCGAAAAGATCCAACAAAAAGTATTCCACAAGGTCCCAGGCGCATGCCTCACAGAACCCGGAGTCCAGCTTCCTGAAACCTCCGCTGCACTTCTTGCAGCTCGTGCCCTGCAGATCCATCTGCGCACATCCGGCACAGAAGCGCTCCTTTGCTGGCGGGTCGTTGCACCATGGAGAACTAGACGCCATGGACTCGACTTAGAAGGAAAAACATGTGAAAATCTTCCTGGGTATAGACTCCAGCAACCTTGACGGGACAGCACGTGACTTCGCCTCCCTCAACGATGCCCACCTCGGACTTCGGGCTGCACGTCGTCGAAGTTTTCGAGGAATTCCTTAGGATCGATCATTGACTCGTTCATCGGCAAGGACCATTCGAATTGAATGACATGGAGGTTGGCTAGAGGCTTTGGGGTTTCGTGAGACGAGACGTGTGATGCTGCCGAAGATGAATTCCGCGAACTGCGAACTCTAGCAGTCCAAAGATCACTGATATTGTCGAGCGCACGGCCATGGCATTCAGGAAGCTTCTGGAGTTCCCCTGGCAAAGCTGGAAGTCCTCCGCAGTGCCACACATAGACACATGCATAAACCCATGCATGTATGAAATGCACGTATGTGAGGGTGCATGCATGTGCATATATGTGCATGTACATGTGTAGGTACAGGCGTCGGTAAAGGTAGGCATACTTGTGTCTATATATGTATCTATGTATGTATGTGTGCATATCTGCACGCATATACATATATATATATATATATATATACATATAGGGTGGTGGCCTGGGGGGGATGTCTATTCGGACCGACGACTGAAGACACATTTTGACGCCGCGAACCCCCCTGACGACACTTCCCGATGCGGTCGCCTGGGGGCTGCAGCGCGGACTGAAGCTGCGTTTTGACGACACATTTGTGGTCGCGACGGCCTTTGTTTCGGCAAACCCCCTCGTGCGCCGCTGCCCTGACCACACTTCCCGAAGGGTCCCACCCCGGCCCCCTTCGCCCCCCTGTCGACGCTTCCCAGCGCAGAGTGAAGACACATGTTGACGACAGATTTGGACTGAAGACCACTTCCGATAATTTTTATTAGTCACTACTACGACCATTACTGTTTTGAGAACATATACACAAAAGGATGCATGTATACATATGTGTGTATGCATGTATGTGTACGTACACTTGCCTGGTTGCCACTTGTTGTTTTGCTTGACATCTTGCTTGTTCGTATTTCACGCCTTCACGTCGACATATCTTTCTACACGTCAATAGGCATGTTTTGAAGAGATTCGAGAACGCATTTGGAAGCCTACACAGACCTTGACTCTTGTCTGCATACACAAATGCAGACCCCAAAACATGAGTGCCTGTGATGCTACCAAATATTCCATTAAGATTCTGTACAGTGGGCACATTATGGTTCCGATCCTCTGCCGGGTCCGGACCAACAGGCAGCTTCAGCAGGCTTCGATGGATTTGCTCCTAAAAGGGGCAGCAATGCTCAAACGAGACTGTGAAAGTTGACCAAGATTTCAGGCTCAGTCACGACGGGACGCATGCAAGCATGCTGCTCTGGACTTCTTCAGTACCAACCCCGACCTCCTCGGCCGAGGAGTGAGAATCGTCCAACTGCTCGTCGTGTGAGCGCACTTCCTTCGCCTCCTTCATCTCGGCCTCGGCCTCAGCGTCCCCTGGAAGTCCCAACCCCCCAATACTACAGCAGCCTCCCTCCTCGCCGCTGTGCCGTCAAACTCAAAAAGCATCTTTTGACGTCTAGCAGGATGCTAGTTTTTTGCTGCCTTCAACACACGAGCGCTGAATGTACTGCAGGCCTTCTTGAGCAGTTGCGCGAGTTCCTTGACGGTGTTCTGCGTCTCCTTGCATCCAAGGGAAGAGGCATCCAACAGTTCCAAATACTCTGCAAAACGCAAGAGCTAAGAGGGAGAAGCCACCAAAATCACAGAGCCCGTTTGTGGAGGTGCGCCTGCTGCTCAGCCTGCTGCTCCATTTGCTGCTTAGCTCGCGCCGCCTTCTCCGCCTTCAGCTCCGCCATGAGATCCTGGCTTCATTACAACAAAACAATCGGCGGGCAGCTCTACGTAAAAGTAGCGACTTGCGCTTTGGTGGACCTCAAAGTCAAGGGCCTTGCCTTAGGGAGCCGGACAGGTCTTACCCGTGCAATCGCAAATGGAGAAATCGAAGGCCTCAGGTGAGCACTCCAAAAAAAGATTGCCTACTGAGGCAACTCGTCGCAGCTGTTTCTTGGGCCGTCCTAGATAAGGCAGTCTGCAACGAAATTCTTTGTTTGCTTCGGGGAACTACAAGAAAAGGCATTGAGGCGGGGGGGACTGGCACGCTTGCTGAATAATTAGCGGATTCATCCAGAATTTTGCTAAAACACAAAAGAAAAGACACTGGAGCTCGCGGCATTAAAACGTTGACTCTTTGCACTGGTCACAAAAGACGACAATACTTCATGTACGGCTGAGAAGTGGGATTGCCCGCTCCTCCTCAACATCTTGTTGGCGGAGTTTGTAGCATCTTGACAGGTGGCTCAAGCCTATAAGTCTGTAGGACTGTGGATTCAAGATTTAGAAAAATAGCTTAGACAAGCTCCGGATATCAGGAATACCACTTGCGTGGGAAATCAAGGACATGCTTCTCGGCTCGCGCAGCATCAGCCAAGTTCTTAGACACTTCACTTATGCTGCAGCCGTTGGAGGACCGTGTAAGAAAGATTGCAACAGCTGTTGCTGCCCCCGTTGCTCTACGATTCTTACACTAAGAGCAATGTAGCCGTTTCAGCATCGCCAGAGCTTCACTGCGCTCTGCGCAAGTCGTTGGTCGAAAACACGAACTGCATTGCAATCCTCAGCCTCAACACCACGTCTGACGCTGCAGCTAGAAGTGGTATGTACCGCTCAGAAATGGATTTGGTCTGCAGATTCCGTGGAGTCCTTCTCCTCCTTGGCGCGGGCGGCTCTCTCATCTTGGAGCTCACGCTCCAGATGCTCCTCGAGGCAACTGAGTTGAGTGCAAAACCGATCTGAAAAGAGAGCTTCGCAGGCCGTTAGTGGTTCGCCGATCTAGGCAGGTTGCAATGGCATACCCGAGGAAGAGATGAAAGTTCGGAACAGGAAGGGCTAGCCGGCTAGCCTGGCGATGAAGGAACTGCCAACTCACCTACTGCTCTATAGCTCACAAACATAAAGACAAGACTGACAGCTTCCAGCTGCGAGCCAGGCATGGGAACTACACTGTACACTTTCGCTGATGCCAGCGAGTGTTCGTGTTGGTCAGGGTTCACAATATCGCTGTCTTCCTTGAGCCCCTTCCGAGGATTGTAATTATTGCTGGTGCCGCAGAGCCCCAAGCAGTGCAGTGAGTTTGTCATCCGCATACCGGTCCCTTGCGCCCGACAGCTCAAGATTGCACGAGCCATCCAGAAGCTCTATCGAGTTCTGCCAAGCCATACTCCTTTATTAGAGGCAAGATGTGCTCCCCGGGTCCAACCTCCGTGCTCTGGAAACCCGCTTGAACCTCGCATGAAACGGCAACACGTCGATTTCCATATGCTGGACTGCTGTCATGACGGAATGGCTGCACGAATCACGATGCCAAGCATGCAGTTTTTGCTTGTGTCACACACGAAGTTGTCCTGCAGCTCAGATAAGCCACGAGTACCCACACTGTAAGGATGTTTCACACGTCGAGCACCGTCACAGTGTCTTCCATGAAAGCAACTTGTGGGTTGGCTGGTGATGATTTTGCCAGAGCCATGCAACAAGTGTTTCGGGCGACTCTGAGTTGCCACACGCAACCTCTGAGCTGCAACAACAGAAATCTGCAAGCACTCACCTGGAAGGTACGTGCTTCATTGAGTGTACATGCAGTACTCGCATCGCAATCTTTCAATTCAAGTTCCTCGACTGCCCTAGCCGCCCTAGCCATCCGGTTCATGTGGATTCTGCTTGCTGGTGGATAATAAGCAGTAAGTCATGCTCTTCCTGTGGAGTCCTGAGCAGAAAACCCCAACCCGCGCTATGCCCGCCTCCAGAAGGAGCTTCTTCATTGTATTCGTCGTGATAGACGCTTCCTGGCAGCTGCATTCACCCATGCAGTTTCTCGCAATACACGATACCGCGGAAGGGAACCCCATGCGGAACAGCGAGGCATCATCGCATGCAGCAAGCTGCCTCTGTGAAGCAACCATTGCACACAGTGTTCTAAAGCTCGCTGATCCATGGAACCCAATGCCAAAGCACCCAAGCAGAAAGCCTGACCGAGCGGTCGACAGAAACGTCCTACATCATGGCGCCTGAAGCAAGATGCTAGCTACAAGCTGACAATCGGCTTGTGCAGTGTTCAGTGCAGATATCTGGCGTTGTTAAGATAACTCCGTTTTGCCACCTCCAACTCGCTCGACCCCACCTCATGCAGCAGTTGCTTCACAGCATTCCGGGAGTCGGATTGCTGAGATGCCTGGCTCCAAATTTCGGACAAACAGTTGAAGCAACTCTGCAGCAAAACGTTCAGGTTTCGGCAGCCAGTTGCTCAGTTCCCCAGGCACAAGCCATGCACATTGCTGACATGCGGCCAGGCCTTTGTCTCAAAGGCGTATGATGTCGTGATGTGTTTTGGTGCAGAGAAAACCCACAGCTCTCAGTTTTCATTGCACAGTAAGCAACGAAACCCTTGCAGCCTCTACAAGCCACCAGCGACATAAAGCATCAACCGCGCAGGCGACAATTGCAAAGACACTTCCCAAAATGAGCATGGCAGAGGTAGGCTTTGAAGCTGGAACGTTCACAGTCGCGACCTCCTGCGCCAAGGTCTTCATGTCATCGGCCGCCTGGGAATCCTGCCGCAACAGCTGCGCAACGGCCAAGTATCCTCGAAGCCTGGGAGTATCCATTCGCTTCGCCTTTCTAGGCATGCTTGTCTCCACATCTCCCTCGACCGCGAGACTTACAGTGCACAGATCAGCCACCTTCTGTGACTGCGGCAGACCCCATCGTTCCTATGTCCTATGAGCTCTCGCATGCTAATGTCCTGCGAAAGAGTTCCCGACGAGCCGGAGGATCCCTCCTGCAGCGTTGAAAGCAGGCGCGTACTAGGGC